CTGTTTTATCAGGAGACACAGCCCTAGCCTTTAGGACCTTGGGAGGCCCCGCTGCAGCATCATGGGGCTGCATTGCTCCCCTTGTACTTCTGGAGGCCTTCAATCACTCTCCTCTCAAGACTACACGGACTAGAAGCCACAGACACTAGTCTGCTGCAACATCTCCAATTAGCAAATTTTAGCCCACTTTCAGAAAATTAAGTGGCAGAAGGCACGTGCCTCAAAGTTCAGTCTTCTCACTTCCTTTAAGCACTGAGGCTACACGGAAAAAATCATGATCTAACCTACAGTGGTGCAGCCTTCCCCACAGGCACGCTCCCTGCAACCCTAGCTCGGCAGAACAAAGCCTGCTTAATGTCTTCTGAGAGCACCAGGGTTTTGTAGTAAATTTCTTTTCAAAAATACAGAAAGCTACTTACTCAGATGGACCACAGATTCCCACTTTGCTGGCCTTGAGGTTCCAGTTGACCAGAGCTAGTGTTGGGAGCAATGTGGCTCAAGATGCATGAACTTCCCAAACTGTCATCTTTTTGATGAACTAGTCGGCTCAAACTCACACACACACACAGGGCCATGCCCAGCACCTGCACGAGCCTGTGGCACAGCTCCCTGGCCAGAGCAAGGCTGCTTCTCACTGAAGGGCAAGGGCAACAGGCACCAAGATGTCAACAGTTCAATTTTCATATTGTCAGTTGAAGCCAGCCAAACACGCACGCACACACACACACACCCCTAAACCTCCGGAACCCAGATTTCTCATGTATAGGGCTCATTTTAGAACCTTCTAATGGAAAATAATGATGATGATAAAATAATAATTCCCCTCATACAGCAAATGTGACAAAATGACAAAAGAACTCTTAATTTGGGGGCTTTATTTTAGTTTTTTTTTCTTTAAGATGCTACATAGTCAAACAGAATTGGATTGGTCTTTTACGGCACAAAATTAATTCACAGTCAAACCTGCATTTCCACTCAGATTGGCGGAGGAACCCGCCTAGACCGCCTCCCAGAGCTCTCTCCCTCTGCAGGCGCAGTCCACCTCTTCATCCTGACTCCCTGGGGGGGCCCACAGGAGGTCAGGCCCATATGTGGGCCTGTGTGCTGGAAGTCTGAGGGTGACTGAGGGGGCAGAAGAGCAATCTAGAAGACTGGCCACTCTTCTCCATTGATACAGGTGACCCGGAGTTGACTGTCCCTATAAATTTCCTCCTATGACATTTTTTACTGACTGACACAGAAAATACCTCCTGGCAGCTGTTCTCCAACATTCCATCACCCCTCCCCACACCCAGAACCTCCAGAGACAGAGGAGCCATGGCCCCAGCAGCAGTGCCAGCCCCACCCACTGGCATTATATAAGCACAGGTGATTTTTAGGCCACAGCATTAACTGCTCTCTTGTGACAATAACACATGAGATGAAATACATTAAATAAGTTAAATATGCATTAAACATCTCTGAATAACAGTCCAGTTTCACTACGTGAACCAACAGTAACTTAGCTTGGTCCCACTAAGAGAACAAAGCCATGACATCCCCAAGGGACAGGAGGCCATGCGTGCCTACTGCCCGTGGTGGGCACACCTCAGGCTGCCATGGCACCGTGCTTCCAGCTTTTGCCATGTTGGACCGTCCCAAGGAACCGGTGGCTTGGACAGATCTGAGGACATGGAAAAGCAGCCTGGGGCAGGAGTGAGCAGCGTGGGGGCTGCCCTGCAGGGGACTGTACAGCCCACTGCACTGGGCTCCAGCTCCTGCTAGCCAGCACCAAAAGGTGAGGAAGAGTGTCAAGGCCAACCAGGGTTCAAAAGGACAGTCACACCCCGCCATGGAGGTGCCAACTGCGGCTTCCCTCATCACCAACAGAGATCATTCTCCCCCAATCATTTGCTTTATGTTTTAACTCTCTAAAAGATTGTTATATTATGTTATATCATGTGCATCTGTGTGTGTATGTGCGCGCGGGGAGGGGTAATTGAAAGGCAAGACCTGTGAGATGTCATCAGACGTTAATTCTTTTTACACATAGTTATGATAAATTTAAATTCCATGGTATGGTGGATGCCTCGATCTGACTCCCATCCTTCACATGCTGCCCTACAAGGCAATCTTGCCTACAATGACACCGACGATGAAGAACAAGACCACCAGAGCCAGCAGCCGGGTGCTGAGGCCCTCCTCCTTCCCAGTGGCAGCCAGCGCTGCGATGGGGCTGTTGCTCGGCACTGTCTTCCTCATCCGGAGCCCATCTTCTTCCTGTGGAAGCAAATGCACATTTCAAAGATAGTCCAAGCCCTGATGACTCTGTCCCAACACAGCCTGTACACACAGCAGCTGATGCTTGCAGAGAGGGAAGGACTAGCCTGAGGCCATTGAGGAGACACTGCCAGAAGTCCTCTATGTCATCCACCCTGTTGGTGCCACTAGCTATCTTTTTACAACACAAATCTAAGCTGCACACTCTCGGTTCCCCACGATTTATGGAAAAAGCTCTTCAGAAGGCCATCCAGGCCCTTCTCATCCTCAGTCGCATCCATCTCAGTGGCGACTCTGCACATTCCTCCTCCCGTGTCCAGTCCCAAATCCTCTATCCTTCTTGCCTCACAGGTACAGGCTTCCCTAATCAAGTCACTACTGGCTTTTGGAATCACAGGCACTTCTTAGGGCACAAACGTACAATACAAGAAACTACAAAGTGGGGGACCCGGAAGCTTTCACATGAAGAGCTGTACAGAGTTGGCTCCTGATGAGTTACATGCAGATTGCTGAAATCGAATGGCATCTGGAATAGTAACTGTGACTCACTTTCATACACTCATCTCAAGTATTTTCTACTCAATGTGTGGATTTCTCACTAAAGAAGCCACAACTCCTTCCATCCATATACGAAGATACCTGCCACACTTTCCCTGTAACATCAGACAGGTGAGGAGCAGGACGTCTTCCTCTCCTTCCTGAGCAGGGCCTAGCACCAAGGCCTTTCTGTTCTGCCCAGGCTTATCTCTGCAGCTAGACCTCATGCTGACTGCTCCTTCTACTCTGCCTAAACCCACCCAGCAGCACAGCCTAAACCCACCCAGCAGCACACTTTCTTTTCTCCTTTTTTTTTCCACTTCTTTCACATTCACCAGGTGCCTAAGTGTCCCTGTGGTCAACAGCCCATGGGGCAGGCTCCCTCCAGGAACATAATCACTGGTTAGAATCCAGTGCCAGCACATAGCAGACTCTCATTGAATTTGTTGGCCAAATGAAAGAATGAACCGACACAAAACAAGAAATCAGAGTTTGGCAGGATAAAGAATCTCCCAATATCAAGATCAGTCTGATAATATTTTAAAGATATTCTGCTAATGGGGCATGGCCAACATCACTGCACAGTGATAAATGACTCAATTGTTTGATTAACTTTTAAAAAATCAGCACAGCAAAATACAGTATATATTTTATTGGGTTTATATGGAAGCTATTTCTACCTATTTATAATTTTAAACAACACAGAACTCTATTTCTGAAGAGAAAGATGCTCAAAGAGAAGCTGTAGGCCTATCTCAGAGTGTTAGCCAAGAAGGGAGGTGCCAGTTTCACAACCAACTTTGAAGGAAGGTACAGAGGAGGCAGGTCCAGGTCACTGCACAGGGGATGGGCTGCTGCTTCCAGATACCAGGCATCCTCCCTTCTCCATAAATGGAGAGTGTGTCCCTGAAGCCACTACAGTGAGGGTGGACACCACAGCATGCCCCGAGACAGGAGTGAGGTTAGCAGAAGAGGCAGCCTTGGTGCTCAAGTTGCAGAAAAGGTCCCCATGATCTCATGGCCAGAGATACTCCCTTTGGTACCATGTTTGAAATAGACTCACACTTTCATGGCTGGGAGGGCTAGAGATGTGTGTAGTGGATGCAGGCAGGGAAATGCTGTGCTGTACACACTGGCTTACTTCCCGAGCCCGACATCTGCCTCACCACCCAGTGCAGCCCACCGGCCCACACCCAAGCTGGACACCCAATGCCCCCTCTGCACTCCACTCTCCCTCCACTAGGACAGCACCATATCCCCAATCTCCCTACCACATCAGCAGTTTGATGAGCCAGTACTGCCTAGACCTATTTAGAGTCTTTAAAAATATGGGTCAGTTATTTTGCTCCTTAAAGAGACCCAAATGAATGGCAGGAAGTAGGGTTTGAAAACACATGTTCAAAATAACCACTGCTGATTTCTAATTCACACAGTGAACACAGGTTGTCTTGTTTTTTTTTTTTTCTTTTGTGATGATAAGAGTTTAAATACCTGAGGATTTTCTGCCCAAGGAACAGTGGTCCTTACTTGGGGGCTTTTGGGATCCTTTTGAGAACGAGATGAAAACTATGAAAATTTCTCCCCCAGTGGGCTGGGGCTGAGGCTGGGGCTCAGTGGTAGAGTGCCCGCCTAGCACGTGTGAGGCACTGGTTTGATTCTCAGAACCACATAAAAGTAAATAAATAAAGGTATTGTGTCCATCTGCAACTAAAAATATATTTTAAAGTATTTTCTCCCCAAGTAAGAAAAACTGAGCAAATACAACAGAACTCAACCAAGGCTGAGCCCTGTCAGCTTTCCCGTCCAGGGAGGCTGGCCCTGCTCTCTGCAGAGGAGGTGGCCGCTGTTACCTTGAACTGCTTGTTCTCCTCCCGCAGCCTCTGGACCTCCCCTTGCAGCCTCTTGCACTCTTCCAGCACCTTCTTAACTTCAGAGTCGTCCAAAGAAGTAGTCAGAGATTTAGACACCGACGGTGCTTCTGTCTTGGATGCAGTTGTGGATATAATCTTATTTATTTCTACATCATGCTGTTCAGAAATAAATGAAAGTCCAAGCGTCACCAACAATGTAAAAAAGGATGTTTTTAAGCAAAATGAGGTAGTTCTCATTTCTCACACACCACAAATGTACTGTTTTGTCCACACTGTAATAAGTCACATTTATTTTTTAAATGGATCAATTTATCTAGTATCTTAATAACCTAAAGCAACTGGGCCCTAGAAATTATGGATAAGGGCAAAGAATGCAGTTGGGCTGAGACTAATACTTCAAAGAAAGAGAAAAAGGGCTGTGCAAATGGCACTATCAAATTCCTGCCATGCAAAAAATTAGCATACTGTAATTGTGCAAGCTCAGGAATTATCAGCCACAAATTACTCTCACCGTGAAGATCTGAGCATCCCCAAGACTGGATGGGCGAGGATGGGAGGATGGGGAGAGAACTGCACAGGGCGGTCTGTCCCACCAACCTGGAACTGGATGCTGGATGAAGGTGAAAACAAACACCCAGAGCCTCCCTCTGGGCAGGTCACATACAGCCTGGTCCCAGTCTGTTCTGCTGTAACAGCCTCTCCAGGTGCGTTGGAGAGTGGGGGCAGGGCACATAAGCAGGCTGGGGAGGTGACTGGGGATTGCTGCCTGGGGCTCTGGGCAACATCTTGATACTAGATCTCTAGCTCTGCCCTCCCCTTCCCACCAGGGAGGGAATCCTGGGAAGCAAGGCCCAAAGTTTCTAGCCCAGAGCTAGGACCAGAATCCAGGTCTCCCAGTCCCTAAACCAACTTCTACATTGTACAGAATATACAATGAGAAAAGGGGAAAATGTGACAATTATTCATTCAAAGAAATAGGATGATGATAGTGGCCAATTACTGAACAGATAAAAACTGTACAGTGTGACACAAATCAACAGCATTCCCCAAGATCATTCTAGATGATGTTTACAGAATGCTTCAGAGTACTTCCATTTCCCAGCCCTGGCTACTAACGGCCAAGGTAGTTTCATATTCTGCATGAGTTTTAAATTCTTTGTTTTTAATATAAGTTAATTTTTTTTTTTTACTAGCTTTGAAGGAAGTCCAAATTAGCATTTTAGATACAGTCTCTTCTCTTCAACTGGTCACAGTGAGGGCCAGGACAAGTTTGCCCCTGGTTTCACACCAAGGAAGAATGAGCTGATGGGTAGGTGGAAGGTGCTCCTCCCCCCAGCCAACACCAGAGTTACATGGAGTCAGGCGATTTTCAGTGAGGGGTGGTTTTGCTCCCGGTGGTTTTGCTCCCGCTGCAAACAATCATCCAGCCCAAATGTCACTAGCGTTGAGGTTGAGAAAGCCCCATCTAAAAGCAGACTTTGATTGAAGAGGTAGGTGGGGGAAGGGAGAGGGGGAGGTGGTGTTGAGGGAAAGGGCTGACAGGGACACTTTGTAAAACAGAGCCTAACAGCTTACCACCTGTCCATCAAGCACCATGATAAAGGGCAAATTATTCCCTGCTTTGGTCTTGCTCACTGTTTAATAGCAGCCCATCACTTTGCCAAGCCTAAGAAGTTCTTCAGGATTTATGACACCTCAACAGCCACCAAGCTGCATTTTCAAGGGAACAAACTGTTTCAATTAGTTGTCTTTCCTGCAAGACTTTTGAAGGCTGATTTTATAAAGGCCCACTTATTTGTTGACTTCAGCTTATTTTTTTTCTTCATACATTATGGGTAGGAAAATAATTTGCCAACTTAGATCTTGGTTTTGCAGGAGATGGTATGCAAATAAGTATCAGCTTGCAACATTCAATTACTTTTAACTATAAACATACTTACTGGTTTATCATTTTCTGCTGGCAATTCAAACACACATCTAAGTTTTGAATCCATAAGGTCTTCTGGTTTTGCCTCCTTCCACTAAAACAATTTAAATTTAATAATCAGGATATTATAAAGCTGCTGTAAGAATAATTTTCCTCCTATAACTGACAATTTCAGAAAAATACTCCTAATGAGAAAGTCCTGATATACATCAGATAAGGAACTTGTGAGTCTCCTGAGATTTTGGTACTTTTAGCATGACAAGATTAAATGCCCTGCTTTCCTGGACACTGACTGTACTCCACAGCCCCACTGTCTTCCTGCCTGACTCCTTCAAGTCCACCCATTCCTCCCATGACTGGTCTGTGGGGATGCACAGGAACCCAGAGAACCAGGGGTCAGAGAGGGGTTTCTGCATTATATCTGAACGACAAAAGGGAACTTTGTCTCCTTAAGAAAATAAAATCCACAGGGTATCCTCCCTGAACAACCTGGGCACATGCCATCTGGGAGTAGCTTCAAACCCACCCTGCCAATTACCAATGGAACACAGCACTTGTAAGTCACTCTTTACTACTGTGGTTGTATCCGCCAAGCCCTGCCTGAGGGCCACACCCACTCCTCCCTCCACTCTGCTGACAAGAGCACCTTCTTGATCAGCCCCAGGTTCTGGGATAATACACTTCTGATTTACTCCCCTCTCAGCAGTGGAGGATGGGCATCCAGGGTGCTCTGAGAATTACAGACCAGCACAGCAGCAAAGTTACAATCCAGAAAAGGAAGGCATCCCCTCCTCCCCTCTCCCAGACCATGCAGATAGCAGCCAGAGCAACAAGGCCAAGAACCCAAATCAGGAGACAATCTTATGTGTCTAACATAAGGGGACTGCCATGGAAATTATGGCAGATCCATCTAATGGAATAGCATGCTGTCACTCAAATAATACTGAAGAGTGTTAAATTACACGGGGGAAAGCCTCAGGATATTAAGTGAAGAAACTACAAAGGATATTGAAGTCCATTCCTCTGTGCACATGCCCCAGTGGATGTGTGCCTATGTGGGTGTGTGGGTACATCTTAAAAGAATACCAGGCAAGTCTGGTTATGACTGGATGCCAAAGCTACCCAGTGACAAGTGCCAGTGGGAAGGATATTTATGTGGTCTCAAAGTATCAGACGACTTAGGGCACAGCAATCATCTATTAACCAAGGGGCAGATATGCTTTGAACTCAGAGGTCCAGCAAATGCATCTGAGCCATGTCACCAAACAGTATCACCAAGAGAGCAACAACCCACCATAAAATGTCTCCATGTGACACCACCTATGGAATGTTCTTGCCAAAAAGATACATAAACTGCCTTTAATCATGAGGAAATAATCAAACAGGATATTACGCTTTCTACAAGTCAATCAGCCTGGACTCTAAAAAATTGTTTTAAAAAGTTATTTTAAAAAAATCCAAAAAGGGTAGGAGAGTCCTCTACTATAATAACGAAAGGCCATTTTTAGAATAATTGGAAATGCTAAACCTAGATTTATCTATTGGATTTAATTCCGGATTAAGGTTCATTTTGTTGGCTGTGCTCACGTCCTGTGGGCCTGTGAGAGACTGCCCTTGTTTTGAAGCACTTGGGGATGAAAGTCACAACACCCGCACTTGCATGCAAATGGCTCAGCAGAAAGGAAAGTAAGGACAGGAGGGAAGCAGATGGGCAAGAGGCTAATAAAGGGCAAGCCCAGGTAACAGTCAGTGGCCAATGCACTGTCTTTACTTTCTATGTATCAAAATAAAGAGAAAAATGTCTTAAAATAAAGAAAAAGGCGCAGCTCTCGTGAACAGGTTGGGTTAGTATGAAGGAACCCGACTCCATTCTACTTCTGGCTTTTGCTTCTTTGTGTATTTCCAAATTTTCCTACAAAGAATTTTTGTAAGAGAACTTTTAAATGTTATAAAATAATCACACTAGGAAACAAATTGACCCTTTATCGTGTATGCAGAGCCTGGCCTATTACACGCCAAGATAGTCAGGGCCAGATGTTTCTAGGCCCTCAGCCGGGGCTTGGCAGCCCACACAATGCTGTGAGCTGACTGCCTCCCCATGATGCAGGCGACCAAAACTTCAAGAGGGACTGAACTGCAGAAGGCAGAACTCAGCTTCAAACCCGAGTGACCATGCACCTACTCTTTTCACTACGTTGTTCAGCAAAAGCCAGACAGAATACACGTGGATACTGTGTATTTTGTATCTGCCATAGGAGGTGACACAACACGTTCCAGGGAATAAAAGAGGAAGAGCAAATGCTTTCATGATGGTTCTTATGAAAAGACAATCTGCTGCTGCTGCTCTCTCTCAAACTCAAAAGTACCTGACTTACCCTTCATTTTCTGCCCTCATGTTAAAAATCAATGAAGATGATCAGTTACGCTTTCTCAAGGCTAAAAGAAAGGCTGAGTGGTGACACTGGGTCATGAATCCAGCTTCTGCGTGAATCCTCCAGCAGGAGAAAACTTGGAGAGGGGAGAAAGACAGCAGGGAGCCCAACACACTCCCTCTGGGGCTGGCAGGCTACAGGCAGTGATGGGCGGGTGCTCCTGCCCTCCTTTAAACACTGGGCACCAGGGAGTCAGTGCTGGTGCTCAGAGGGCACAAGGTCTGACACAGCACCAGCATGCGCATGGACTCATTCACATGTGTAAAAAGCTTGCTTTGAGGAGAATTTCTATCATAACCTCTCCTTTTCCAGAAATAACCGATAATATAATATTGTTTATTTAATTTATAAAAATGAAGTCATCCTAATTTTACCAAAATTCAACACATAGCGAAACATATTTATTTAGGGAAAAAAATGAAGGGACCTGTGGTTAAAAAAGAAACACTCAAGCTGGGGACGCAGCTCGTGGTAGCACCCTTGCCTAGCATGCATGAGGCTCGAGTCTGAGGCCCAGCACCACAAGGAAACAGACAGACAGACAAACCAAAAGAACTGAAAGAAGAATCATGCTTATGAGAACCAACACAAAAAAAAAGGAAAGAAAGTGTAAGTGGGAAAGGACATTAGTATCCACCACTCATGTCCTTCTGGATTGGGAAGAAGGGCAAGGGAAAGCATGTTCCCCACAGCGACATTACCCTTTCCTGGGGAGAAGAAAGGGGACAGTCCCAAACTATTTACTACATGAGCCATCAGAGTAAGGAACTGCCAAAACAAACTTGAGTTTTTAAAAGTCAAAAAAAGAATAGTATTCTAGAGAGCTTCATAAAACGTTAAAATTATTCATTGGTTTTAGAAAAACCAGAAAGGTAGTCAAAATACAAACCTCCTTGAAAATATAACTCCCATGTAAATAATTTTGACACATTTTGAAATGCATGCACCCACAGTTCTGTACCTAATTGGTTTTTGTTATTATTACTGAAAAAAGTAAGAAGCATTCAGTACTTACTACTGCTTCCATATCAGAAGTGTCAGTTGGAGCAAACATAGACTGAACCATAAACTTGTGTTTACTTTTCTCATTGGGATCATAATCGAAAGGCTGTAACATCACTGAGAAAGAAAATATTTCATTAGGAGGGTCAGAACTCGGTTACCAGTGCCATTTGTCATGCTAATACTTGTGCTGTGGTGTAAAGCAGTTTCCCAGGCATTTTCCAAGGAAGCAAGAAGAGATGACCCACACCTCCATTTTGCAGGTCCCCCTAAGGCTCAGAAAAGTTAGGGGATTTGCCAAGGTCAGAGAGCTGGGAACAGGGCTTAGGACTCAGGTCTTGGTCCACTGGTCTTTCATTCCTGCAAACCCACACAGACATCTGTAACGAGCCTTAGAGAATAGGAAAGCAGGGCAGTAACACCGCGTGCCTTTGTGCTCAAGAAAACATATCCAAATGATCTGTTCAGGAACTAAAAGAGAATAATCCAAGATGTTTAAGGCCATTTAAAGAACTGTTATAGCTTCTCTCCATCCCATTCCCTGCACAGTTAATCAAGGTAATGCTTGAAACATGATTCTGGCAACAGAATGCTAGAGAATTCTCATAAGCAAGATGTTCAAATAGGAGGGAAAAAACAACACCAGCTCAGCACCCCACTTGGTCCCTAAGAAGCTAGGGTACCCTCCCTTAGGAACCTGTGAATGAGCTCCTGCTACTTGGAGAGAGGCACCTGCCCACTCTGACTGGCTTCCTCCAGACCATTTCCCAGGGTAGACTGGGCCTTACCCCTGTGAAACCACCACTGCTTTCAACTCTGTGACCTGCTGCAAGGCTTTGGCTAAATCTCGAACCTACTTAAGTTCGCCAAAACAAAACTTCACAGGCAGCAGAGGCCTTCTGTAGCCCACAAAAGCTACCATGAAATGAGGGTTTCCACATGCCAGAAATTGGGCTTTGTCTCCAAGGTCTATTATCATCTCATTTAATCCTTAAGTGGTGGGTACTATTGTGAGGGGGAGAGAAGTGTTATCTTGATGCCTATTTTTCAGATGAAAAAAAAATGAAACACAGAAAGTTAACCAGCTTGCCCAAGGTCACACAACGAAAGAGCACAAATTCAAGCCCAGGCAGGGTGTTCTGAGGGCTTATGCTCTACCACCACCAGGACTAATGCCTTGTCCTGACAGGGCTAGTCCTGTCCTCCCTGGCAGGGCTTCTGCCACCTTTTCTGCTAGGCACCCTCAGGGGTTTCTCCATGGCCTCGCCACCCCTGCTGCAGATAAAGACAGGTGTCTCTAACCTCAGTATACACATAAAGAATCTGGGGCTCCACAGAGAGAAGCGGCCTGCCCAAGGTCTCAAGGAAGCCACACACTGGCATAGAGCCAAGACCTCTGTCTCCAAGTGCAACCTGGCACCCCTTCCACCCACCAGGCACTCCGACAGGATCTGGGTGTAGGCTGCACCTCCAGCCCTATGGCAGTGCTCATGGGACCATGGCTGGCAGGAAAGAGAAATGGTAATTTCCCCCACCCATCTTAGGGATGCAGGAGCATGTTCCATCTTTGTAACAGAGAAAGACCATGAAAACTTGATCACATGAAGGCCTGAAATATACAGGTGTACCTAGTCACCTGGGCAGCTCTATTGTCACAACACCTATCTGAGCACTCTGAGTTACAAGGGCACTTGCTGGGAGACTTCTTCTGGACAAAGTTCAACAAATGTGAGACAGCAAACCTTTATTAACATAAGGCTGTGTACATGTGACACCCAGTCTACCTACCTTACAGATTACCAAGATTAGAATGCTCCATCTGGGTACCCGATCCAAACAGTGTGATACCAGCAGAGGGAAAAAAGATCACTAAAAAAAAACACAAGGCCACTTTTCTTGGGATCTTGCTCTTGCAGATTCAGTGGACGCCAGGTCTACCCTGCTATCGGCTCTGGACCTGGACTGCGATGAGGTCCAGCACTGCAGAGCTGGTATGAGCTTCCAGCAGATGGACCCGAACACTGCTGGACACCAGAGCCTGACTTAACTGCAGGGATGAATGCCAGAGTGGAGGTCAAACCCTAGACTCTTCTGAGAGCTAAACATCCTGCTTCTGCCACCAAAATAGCCACATGGAAGGTGAACCCTGCCCACTCAGCAGCTCTACCCACTGCACATGTGCCAGGAGCTTTCTTGGGTAGCAACCATCAACATTGTCCAGAGATGGAATAGAACTTCGAACTACTGCGAAGATATGCTCTCACTTTTAGTACTCAGGTGAAATGAGATTTAAGACTCTCCAGTCTCACTGGGCAGTGACAGAATCATTTGCTGGTATTTTTCAGTGTGGAAAAGAAGAGAATGTTGACCCAAACTACCACACCTGGGTTTTCAGAAAAACAGAAGCGCTGTGGCCCCTGTCCACCCTCCCTCTTCCCTAAGGCACTGGAGAAAGGGCAGCGAGTGTTCACCTAAGACTCACCACAGCCAAGGGCCGCTCCCTTTCACCTCTCCATCACCTCTGTGGTCTTCAGCCCAATGCCTTCACCTCACCCCAGGAGGGAAGGGAAGGAAGATGACCTTGACCAGCACCTGCCAGTGTCAAGCCACCAAAGAAGGCACATGCTCCTTAGTCCTCCCACTCAACCCTCACAGCAACCACCAAAGAGGCCCATGTCTGCATTTTCTAGATGAAAAGACACAGGCTTAGAAAGCCTGAGTGAACAGCCTCACCTGGGCTCCATGAGCAGTGCACTGGACAGCAGGACCGGCTCCAACTAGCCCCATTCCAGAGTCCAACTCCCCCAGCAGTTCTCAAAGTACAGCCCACAGACCCCAAGGGTTCTCCACACCCCCAGTCAAATGACCCATGAAGTCCAAACGATGGTCACACTAACACCAGGACATCCAAACCTTCTCCCGTGTCGCCACTTAGACCCACAGTGCACAAGCATGGTGGCGATGCAGGCAAGCGGGCGGTTGCCATGGGCTCTGGTTGTGCACTCTAGTTGTAAAGGAAGCCAGTTCACTTAACAATGTTTTTGATGAAGTAAGAAAAGCACTAATTTTACTAAATTTCAACCTTGAAAACAAATCTTTTTAGCCCTTTCCCCATTTTTCTGTGATGCTGGGAATCAAACCTAGGGCTTCAAACATGCTAGATCAGTGCTCTACCACTGAGGTACATCCCTAACCCTCTCGTTTAAATTTTATTTTGAGACAGGCTCTTGCTAAGTTGCCCAAGCTGGCCTTGAATTTTGTGATATTCCTGCCTTAGCCTCCCAAGTAGCTGGGATTATAATTGTGTACCGCTGTGCCTGACCTTTTTAGCCACTTTATGATGAAATGATATTTCTGCTGTCCCCTAAGTCCAAAGGCTGCTGTGAGCAATGTACCCAGGCAGCTCTTGGGGCTGGAACTAGACCTGGCGTTTCCCCATGGAACATTCTTAGGTGAAGGAGCAACCAATAGACAAACTGGTCATTCCAACCCTGGTGTATGGCATGTACACTCTTGAAAATGAACTAAGTAAGCCTGCCACTTCAAGAAAGACTTACAGTTATTGTTCCCAATAACAAAACTCAGGCTTTCAAGCAAAAATTATAATCATGGAAAATTTAAATCTGCCACCAAGAGCACCCAGTTCACCCAACACTTAAAAGACTCTTATTGGCCAGCCCAGTATCACAGCACTTGACCAGCAAGTGTCCAGGGTTCCATCCAGAGTTGCAGAAAAAATAAGACTCTTCTGATGAGATTGGTGGTAATAATGATGAATGTGATTTTTTTTGATACAGCATAACAAATGATGTCAACATTTGGAAGATCTGTATAACCTCACACTCAATATTTTTCAAACAATCCACAAGTGATATTACAAAATCCAAAGTGTAAGACAGACCAACACATTTCAGTGAAGCAAAATTCAAAAAGCTCACAAACATGGCTTGAGTCCACATCATAACATTTTCTTACATGTAAGAAAATGTCACTTTCCCTGCAGCTCGTGAGGATGAAGCAGGAGGATTCCAAGTTCAAAGCCATCATCAGCAACTTAGCAAGATCTTGTCTCAACACAAAACACCAATAAAAACAAAGGGTTGGGTTGGGGACATGGCTCAGAGGTTAAGTGCCTCCAGGTTCAATTCCTAATACCAAAATAAAAAATAAAGAAAGTGCTACTTGGCTCTTCCAAGTCCCTGTTTCCAAGATGAAAAAAAAAAAAAAAGGGCTGGGATGGCGGGCAGGGTGTCGGGGTGGAGAGAAAAGGACTACAGTCACACAATCTGTTTGCTACATGAACTGTGAACTGCCCAGTCAAGACAGTTGACAAGGTCAAGGACTAGGCCATATATACTTTTTAAAATATTTACTTTTTAGTTGTAGTTGGACACAACACCTTCCTTCCTTCCTTCCTTTCTTTATGTATTTATTTATTTGTGGTGCTGATGATCGAACCCAGGGGGCCGCACATGCTAGGCAAGCACTCTACTGTTGAGCCACAACCCTAGCCCCTAGGCCATATTTTTAAAAATATTTTTATTTCATTAAAAATGTTATTGTCAGCCAGGTGCAGTGGAGCACACCTGAAACAATCTCAGTGACTCAGGAGGCTGACTCAAGAGGATGGCAAGTTTGAGGCCAGCCTCAGCCACTTAGAAAGCCTGTCTCAAAATAAAAAATAAAAAGGGCTGGGATGTGGCCCTGGGTTTAATTCCCAGCACCAAAAAAAGAAAAAAAAAGTTACTGCTGACAAAATTAATAATTGTTAAATTTCTGAATTTAATTTCTAAAGACAGATATTGATACAAACCCAAACAAAAAAACTCTGGGTCTTCAATATTCATGAGTGGAAGGGGATTCTGAGACCAGAACATTTGAGCACCATTACTCTACACCAAGCTACCTTGCCGGCCCCCTTTAGGAAGAAAGCAATGCTGAGCAACTCGAATGAAGTCACTGATGGCTCTGTGGCCCCCTCCTGGGAGAATTTGTGACTTAGAAGAGATAGCAGCTTGAACCAAACCAAATCTGAACACAGCCTCTCATGCAGGGCCTGGGGACCCCTGTGCTCCTTCAGCCAAGCATGCACTACCTTTAGACATAGCACACCCCAG